TTTGTTCCACTTAGTTTTTTCATGCCCAATACCTATGTAGGAGCAAATTTTGTGGGCAAAAGAAATGAAATGTGGTTTGCATGGAAGGATGATGACTGAATTGGCGATCATCAGGCAATGCAAAAATCTCAAAATTCCAACCAAAATGGATGGACTAAAACCAAACAAACTCACTGCAAATTACCCAAACAACACGACATATGTTCTTGTTCAAACAAATGAGCTCACTCTGAACTATCCAAAATGCACTAAATCTATATTGCAGAGATAGAAAAAAAAGAAAAGGAGCACATTTAGCTTCAAGTTGAGTAGTTGACTATGGTGTAATGAAAAATGTAATTATAAATATTATGGTCTTGATAACCGATCATGCAAAGGGAGACTATTCTAGTTTCATAAACATCCTCAGAAAATTATCAACAACTAAAAGGATGTTTATTAGAATGTCCACATAAAAAACAAAACACTAACAGGTCCATGAACCATGAATCGGCGGTGTGGTGTGTGAGCGGTTCACCATGGACCGAGTCCATGCTGAAATGTATGGGTCCTTGTATTTCCAATGTATTTCCTCTTTTATTCTTCAGAAGGAAAACAACAAGAAAATGTGGACATATCATCCTGATGTCATCAAGATAACAAGCTAGGAAAGCTCGTGCAAAGCAGAGCACGGAACATAGAACGACCGGTGCTCAGCGGCCATTTCCCAGCAACGCGAGCTTGCGTAGTATGCCTTGCGTGCGCGTTTGCGTGGAGAAGGAGCGCAGGGGTGCGGGGAAGCTCACCTGCGGCTTACCAAGGGCGGAGGAGCAAGGCCGGGACTGGCTTTTCCCCAGAGCGAGCTCACGCCTGGCAATGGCGGTGCGGCGCAGGAGTTCGCGGGCGTGATGCTTGTGCTGCCCAGCTGGTAGTGGTGGGCTGGTGGTTCACGCTAAGGAGCTCGGCCGCTCGCCATGATCACCGATCTATTGCAGGCTCCGCGGACTGCAGGTGGCGAAATCAGCGATCTGTTGCAACGAACATCGAAGCGGCGTCCTGATTCCGCGTGCCTGGTGTGTGTCAGTGGCGGTGGAGACCTGAGCCCTCGGCGGTGCAAAGCAGCAGCGTCAGTGGGGAGGGCGCGGCGCCACAGAGACCTGAGCAGGGCGATTCGGCGACGGCTCCGCTGGTTGTCGTTGTCCGTGTGCTTCTGCTAGGATTAGCTGTGGTCGTCTTCGCCCACGTGCTGCTGTTAGGATTTGGGTTTGGGTATTCCATTTCGCATAGTTGGAAGGGAAGACAGATGGGGATATAGGGTTCTAGTGACGTACCTGGTGGGTGCTCGTCGCTAGCTCGGCGTCGTGACAGGGTACGCCAGCGTCAGCGGGCAGGGCGGCGAGGCGACGGGCGCTTCAGCTGTGCCGAGGCGACGGGGACAAGACGGGGCATCAGACGAGGCCGGTACAGAGCAGGACGTGGACAGGGCACGATTGAATGATGGTGTTGATCAGCGGACGACGTGTGCGATGGCGAAGGTGGCGCGAGGGCCAGGCATGAGGAGGTGAGGACGCGGTGCCGTGCGACTGCATAGTGTCAGGGAGGTCGCGGTGCAGGTGACGGCGTGGTCTCACGTGATTGGCGGCGTGGGGTGATCGCGGAATTGTTCACGATTGTTATGGGAATTGATTTTTACCCTCCTGATTTGCTGCGGCTGTTATGGGGATTGAACTGATCGCATTGAGCGAGTGCGCGTTGCCTTCCTGATCTGATCGTATGGAGCGGCTTTGGTGTCACACGTATGGATGGAATAGTTATAAATGTTTTAGCTGTAGAGTGTTTTAGTCGTAGAGATATGCAAACGAAACGAGTCGCTACTATGCAGATCGTCACAGGACCAAACATGTCACGCCTGTGAAGGGAAACTTGTTTGCACGCAATGATGCAGGGGGACTAACAATAGGCAGCCTAGCAGGCAGAGCCAGACACAGCGCGCGCATACGGAATCACATGCCGTTGTTCCATTCCGTGCTACGACGTCCCAGTCCCCCACCTGGTCACCTGTGCCTGTGCGCGCGCGGTGTTACGGTTACGGTTACGGCGCCTCCGATCCTTCAGGCTTCAGTGTCCGTGCTTGCACAGATCCTCCTCGCTCCATGTCCACTCTTTTGACGCAGATTTGGGCTGTTGGAGCGGGCCCGATTGCAATCTTGGCATCGTTGCTCCGGTGTTCAAAACACTGAACCGTACCGGTGCTTGATGCTTCATGTTCACCCTTTTCTTTGTATCATTTCTTTTGGATCGCTATGATCAAGTCCTTGATCTCTTCTCTCGCTTCAGTACTTAATAAAGCTAGGCAGCAGAGCCAGTGGATCCTTGTACTAGACAGTGCTGCAGTGCACAGTCACATGCCGTGCTTCAGATTTGTCATCTGAATTTCTGTCTCTCTGCGTGTCGACGACGCAGCGAAGACCAACAAGGCAACAAGTCATCTCGCTGAGGAGTGGCCAGTGGCCGAGTGGGCTCGCTTCGCTGCCTTTCGCTACGACGTCAACTCTTCTCTGGTCGGCAGGTCGCCCTCTCGAGTCAGCGTCGGGAGCTCCGCGCCACAACCAGCCAACGATCCGGCGCAACCTGCCCATGCCGTATTCGGCGCGGCGCGGCCTCGGCACGTCTGCCGTGCTGCCCGTGACAAGTGCTCAAACTCTTGCTCTACGAATGCCACACGGACAGAGTCAAAACAGAAGCTGAAAGCTGCGTTCGCTTCGGCTATGCTTAGGCACCACGAAGCACGCCGGTTACACGACGGAACTGAAAACGCTAGCGGTATTTCATCGATCGTGCAACTAAGCACTATATATGGATCGACTGCGTTGCTGGGTAATACAATGCATTTCACAAATTTTAAGTTGACATAAAAGAATACTCAAATGATACATTTATCCATGGATTAAACATAATTAAAAAAAATTCTTCTCAAATTACGGTTTCTTTTTGACAAACTTTGCTAAATCTGAGTATGGGTACCCTACATAATATGTTATATTTCAGTATAAATTTTAAAAATCATAATGCATTGTATTTCAGAAGGGAGAGAGCAATATCTATTTTAATAACTGTCAATATACATAAAAATATATTACAGCAAATGGAGATAGTTATATATTATGAAAGGATTTCTAATTGTATTGGTAATCTTGTGTTGTTAACTTCTGTGTTCTCATGTAAGGAAATTGTGAAATTGAAAAGCTTCTTTCCCCTGTTTGAGGATTACAATTTCAAGTTTGATAATGGAATTTTTTCCTAATTTAAAATAGGCCATAACAAAAAATAGTATTTAAAGTTTTGGTTTATTTAAATGAAATCCAATTAAGTTGTTTTGAAGGTTTTAATTCGTTGGAGTTGACTTTCAAGTGGTTATTACTACTGCAGACACACTGTCCTTACTCGGTCCAGTGAGCTATGCCAATCAAGATCTCCAAATTTTGCCATGGCGTAACCCCTCGTCAGGTCCTCAAGTCAAGTTTTTGCATGGGAGTCATGTTTTAAATCATTGCTCACATTTAACGTTGTTTACTAGTCAAACATTTCCTAGAACGTGTGAGTAGTGAGAAACCCATCCCTATCTCGACTTTAACCGCAACTAAGCGGCCGCCGTGATTCCACCACTAGCTCTCCTAACCCTTTAGGCATCAATCGACATCAATGGTTATCAACTTGTACCTTGTTATTTGGTTCTCTTACAAATGTCAAATTGGATTTTACTTGTTCTAGTACTGCTTTGAATTTTGATGTATCATGCGTATCTAGATGTGAATTTGGAATGCCATGCATGTTGTAATGTGGTGCAAATCGTATATTTTGGTGTAATCTTGAATTTGTTGGAATAGAAAAATATATTATTATGTTGGTAGATCCACACCCGTAGGGTTAAAAGAGAAAATGATAGATCCACACCCGTAGGGTTAAAAGAGAAAATCCATTATTGTGTTGAGAGATCTACATCTATAGGTGCCTTATTGGGCTTCCGGCCAAGGTTAGCTTTTCTTATGTGAAGCCTTAGTGGCTAGGTTGGGTTTTAAAGTCCCGTTTGACACAGCTCAGCTTCACCATGGAAGTTGCTTTTTTAAAAACAACTTCACAAGCAGTGATGAAGCCAGAAAAAAATTTAGGAGGGGCTGAACAAAAGAATAGATGTTTTTTTAACTTCTCTTAACCTTAGCCCCTCCTACCTAATACATATATGCATAAAATTTTAAGAGACGACTTAGGAAAACTCACGTGCTCATGGGTAGGGGGCAGCCCCACCATTGCTTACTCGTCCTGTTCACAAGCAGCTTTAACAAAGGAACATGATAGAACTTAAGGATGAGATGTGAAAATGGAGAGAAATGAAAAAAGGCACTTTTTAGCCTCGTCTCTTTCCAATACTTTGTGAGAGTATAACAGATGAGCTTTACTATAAAGCTATTTCGAAAAATAGTGTTTGACAAAAAAAAACAATAACTCACAAACAGCTCAAGAAGCTGTGCTAAATAGGACCTTAGTTCAGGTACACGGTGCGTGCATGGATGGTTCACTCGCTTGATCCCCCCGTTGTCATTCCTACGTCGACTCCTTTTTATCCCAAAACACATCCGCTAGAGCATTAAAAAGAGCTCAGTCCCTCGCTGATTCAAAATTAAGCAAAGCGCACCGAATCCGTTGCTACCATAAAAAAAAAAAACAATCAGCGCTTCCTTCCTGGACACGCCACAAGGCACTGACTGCGGGGCCCGCCTAGCACCCACCGTGCATCTCCTGTATATAAACCTCCAGCAAGGCGCCACACACCGGAAAGCGACACGACCGCGCCCGAGGAGACCACACCACACCGCCTCCTCCGCCCAGCCACTTTTGCGCCCGCCGATTCGTCGAGCTCGCCTAGCACCCCTGCCTCTTCCCTTCCTCCCCACCTCCTCCCCCGCGACCGTGCTCCCGCATGCCAGCGCGCTGACCGGCGGACGACGTACGGGGTGGGCATCATGGACAAGTACGAGGCTGTTCGGGAGATCGGGTCGGGCAACTTCGGGGTGGCGCGGTTGATGCGCAACCGCGAGACCCGAGGGCGCGTCGCCGTCAAGCTCATCGAGCGCGGCCACCGGGTCTGAGCCTTGGCTTCGCTGCTCTCTCGACTCGAAGGGTTTGGGTCGGGTTGGTTTGTCGAGGGTTCGGATCCGGAGGTTCTGGTTTTGTTGTGCTGATCGGGTGGGCTTTTTTTTTCGCAGATCGACGAGAATGTGTACCGCGAGATCGTCAACCACCAGTCGCTGCGGCACCCGAACATCATCCAGTTCATAGAGGTGCGTGTGCCAATAAGGAGCAGATATTTATCGATTGTTTGTTTATTACTCCCTTTTGTCCTGTTAGGTTCATCTGTAGTGTTGGGGGTAAAAAAAGACTTTGTTCTATGCGGTGTGCATGCTTTTGTGCGGTTCGAAGGAGGTGCTGATGAAGCGGAAATTTTGACGAAGGGTGCATCTTCTTCTTGATTTGTTGTGTTTATTGGCAATCTGTTTTGAGATTGCATTCAAGCAATCAAGCTGGCCGCCCATGTTCTTGCCTTTTAGGATTTGTGGGTCAGTATTTAGGTGCCGGATAGTTTGGGTTTTAATTATTTGGGAAATAAGCTGCTTGGATTTGATTGAAGTGTGTGCCAAGTTTATCTCTCTCCCTACTTTCTCTAGTACTAGTACTAGTACTAGTACTAGTACATAACACTATTTTCTATTACTTTTTATAAATATATTGGCTAAATAAACGAGCACCAACTCAAAAGCTTATTCCATTAGGGAAAAAACTCTGCAGGTGATCCTAACACCAACGCATCTTGCAATTGTGATGGAGTATGCGGCTGGTGGTGAACTATTTGATCGAATCGTGGATCATGGGCGATTTAGCGAGGATGAGGTACTATATTATCAAATTGGCTGTTGTTTGAGTACTATTTTAGCCTTAATGTGTTATTCATCCCCCACAACAAATTTCAATGTGTTCTCTTCTGCTCATTGTAGGCCAGGTATTTCTTCCAGCAGTTGATCTGTGGAGTGAGCTATTGCCATCACATGGTATGAGGAAACTATAAATTAGCGTCTAGTCGTTACTGTTCACATATACTAGATATATATGCTTTGTTGCGGGAAGTGCAGGTGTGTGTTTTTAAATTATTTATATGAGTGGGACCTGAACATATGCTTAAATGTTGGAATCTTGTCTACTTTTCAGCAAATATGCCATAGAGATTTGAAGCTGGAGAATGTTCTCTTGGATGGCAGCCCAGCTCCACGTCTCAAGATATGTGATTTTGGCTACTCCAAGGTTGTCTCTAATTTCTCGTTGTATTGGTAGCTTTAAGTTATTTGACATGTCTGTAAGCTTGCTTAAGAATACCATTTAATTGCTAGTAATTCGTAACAGTCATCAGTACTACATTCAAGGCCAAAATCAGCAGTGGGGACGCCAGCATATATTGCACCAGAGGTCCTTTCTCGGCGGGAGTACGATGGGAAGGTGAGTGGCAAGAATCTCATGTTTATGCATACTTGCATGTTGATGTTCTGTAAAGCATATATTCAAAAGTACATCAGTAATATTCTTCATCTTATCATTATTACACATCATATTTAGTTACATTCTTATTTTGCTGGCATTCACATTAGTACTAGATATGTTGGTTGCAAGTGCTGCTTGGTCAACTTTAGTGATTATTTAGGGTTATTCATTTCAAAAAATGTTATTGAGATGTAGAGGTACCACCTTATTACCAAAATCTCTTCTAAGTACTTATAATTAAGTTATCCATTAATAGTGCGCAACATACCTGATTCTTTTCAAGATTGTGGCACTGCACATGTTTGGTTCTTTTGTGGACAGTTAAATCTGATGGTCCACAGTTGCCTGTATTGGTTCTGGAGAATTCGCCCCCAATATTGATGTCATTAAGGAAAGAGGCTTGAGATAAGAAAGATACCTATATTGAACTTCCCAATTTCGATAACATACTTGGTCAGGTGTTTATATTCTTTCTGAAGAACAGTTTATTCATTAGTTACTTGTTTCGTCGACAAACATATTTGTGTATTTGATTTGATTTCACCATCTTCTGCATGAAGACACACTTCCTAGATTAATATTCAATTTTATGGTTAGTTGTAGTAACATTTGGAACCATAATTCCTGGACTTATCTTGATCAATACTTGTGACTTCTAGAAGACAGTCGATTGATTATTGGAATATGTAGCAACAGTGAATAGAGGATAAGTAGTCACTTTCAGACATCTTGTTGGAATCTTGCCTCTTCATCCCTTGCGTTTCTGTTGGTAAGGTGTACCCTAACAGATGTTGACACTGATAAAGTAGAGTGGACTCATTGGCCCATTGCACATGCAGACCACCCATCGAGTGGACCTTCTACGCATCATCCACTCTCCAATATGTTGGTCCAAGTTTTGGTGTAGTTAATGGAGTCTTGGCCTTTAATATGTTTCTCTGTGTCGATACTCTTTCAGTAGATTAACTAGATTTTTTAGGTGAGTAAACTGCACATGGTCACCGGTCAGCACATAGGTTCTCCTTTTTTATTCAAGGTGACTTCAGAGCTGTATCTTGTTTGATTCAACAAATCATGTACCTTCTACAGGCTGGACTGCTAAGTTAGTTGTATGTGTTTGGGTTCTATACCCTTTCCTTTTCTTTTTTTTTCTCTTCTTCATATTCGAGAAAGAAAAAAGTTAGTTGTATGTGCAGTTCAGATACTATGGCTGTATGGACACATCCATACTGATTTACCAACAAAAAAAAATGTTGGCATATGTTCAGTGCTTTCATTGACACAGAATTTCAACTAGCAAAAGAATATTATTGTTAAATTACCAATTTACTGGAACTCTGTTAAGAGCCAGTGGAAATCAATGTAATAGAATCGACCAAATCATAAGAACGTAAGTACAAAAACAATCATCGAAGCGATCAAATTCCTGTACTTAAGCTCCCATAATCCCGGTAGTCCGGAAATCACGAAGGATTTCAACCAACTCTCGACATACAAACCAAGATCGTAGTGATTCAACACAACACATCATTCGTTACAATATTTCACAAGTAGCATTCGGATTACATCCATCAGAGTTCAAAATAAAATATTACAAACTAAGTTCAAACTTGCGGAAGCAACATAGTTTAATACATAACTTCATAGTTTCAAATACATTGCCAGATCTGAGTCATGTCCCACAAAAGCATCATCAGATACGAGAACTAGGAGAGACCGCGCCCAATGGTCTAGTCTTCATCCCCAGCCGGAAGAAGGCAATACTTGCAGCAACGAAAATAGAACTGGTCACCTGCAACAGGTGGGAGATAAACCCTGAGTACGAGAAGGTACTCAGCTAGACTTATCCGATCAAACCAGAAATAAAAGACACCAAGGATCATGCAAGGCTTATGAGGTGGGCTAGCTCGACACATTTGCATAAAAGAGCTTATGAAGATAGTGACCAATTTAAACTTAGCATCAAGCTTATCATCATTTACCTGTCCATTAGATTAGCACCTGTACTAGAGCACTCACTTATTAGGAGTAATCAATATTATCATATCATCATTTTCGAACCATTATGTTATTTAGTGTGTCTACATTGGAGATAAGCCCGTCAAGTTCTCACTAACCGGGAGAGACGGCGATTCGAATCGAATTACAACTCAGCTGAGGGGGTATTCCTAACTCTCACCCTGGCATGCTTTGCAAGGGTAGCCATGGGTCACCTTTGGAACAACTCAGTAACCAAATTCGTGGGTTCGATCAGCGCCAGCACTCTCAGGGATTACCCTTACCGGGAGACGATCGGGACTTTTAAATCACTTGCCCTTGGACTCACGCCTCGGCTCTCTTCGAGGCGCACTTTATACTTATCGACTCTTGCCCGAGGTGAGCTACTCGGCCCAGCGGTCGGTCTTGAGACATGGCCAACTAAGAGAGAGGCATCGTTCAACATGAACAGAAAATGCTCTAAGATTCAGTCCTTAATCGACACGAGCGGAGTCACTTTGCAAACGAGCAAGCATCCGTCCGGTCTTCATTTCAAATTAAGACCGGTTCTTTTCCACGATAGCAAATATAGCCAACCGTGCCATATGTATCTTCCTATATCTCGCGGTGACGAAATCACCGACTTCTACCGTGTTAAAGCAGGGCTAAGCACTACACGAGCTTTGAGCTACATAGGATTCGAGGTATCAATATCCGGATAAGGATTGAATAACCAATGCGACAAGTGTTTGCATCCAACACCTAAACTTAATGCAACAATATATATATATATATAACAACAATAATACTTTAATCGTATTTCGGAAATTAGGAGGCTTAATATACTCCGGGCTTGCCTTTCACAAAGTTGCACGGATGGTGATCCGGGCACTCAACGCAACAACCTCGTCATCACTTCTCTGAAGGTCTCCTCCCGAATCTCCGGTGTCATTCTTTGCTTTTCTCTCGCTCGGTTCCTCGAATTCCAATAGGGTCACTCCTTCCGGTACACCTATTGCATGCCGATGCACAAGATAAATATCATGGATGCATAAGGAATGACATGATGCTCATGATGAATGAATCATAGTAAGTGTTTAACGAAAACATCACTGGACACTCGTTTACCGATTAAGAATAGCTCTATTCAAATCACTTTAAAACGTGTATCTAACTTAACTTGAAGAACAAGATCAACTTGCATAACCTAATATAAAGATGCTCATCCTCAGTTAAAGGCCTAACACATAGGAACATTACCACAAACTTAGAAATAGTAAAGGCATACTTAAAACAACAGTTAAAGTTTCATATACACACGGGTAGTTCCTTAATTCAATCATAACCAGAGCTCTATAAATTCAAATGACTTGCAAGAGGACATTCTGGAAAGCTTATGAAATTCTCTATAAATCAGTTGTAAACATCAAAGCATGATTCTTATGTTAACCAAATCGAATTCCAGTAAACCTAGAATCTGTCCAGAAATGACAGGGTCGCTAAATTAAATATTTAGTGATGATACAAAAGCCTAATTGGACCAAACCAAATTTACCAACTTGTTGCACATGCCAAAGGAATATCAGAAAGTATAGTGCCAACCTCTAAATAAATTATTTAATGTCCTTTTCTAATTTATTTAATTAATTAGGTGATTAAAGCAATATATAGTAAAACTGTTCGGAAAAACCTATAAAAATTACAGTAGCTATCTCATGCTTCACATAGACTACCATAAAAATTTTAAAACCATTGGGCAAGCAGAACTTGCTGTATCCAAAATAACAGGTGGCATGTCTATTTTTAGCATAATTAGGAAACCCTATTGAAAAGTGTCAAGCAACAGATTTCTTATTTTTCCTAGCATCATTCTAGCATAAGAACAACACTCACCAAATTTTACCCTTACTGGATCTATAGAAAATTTATGAAAATTCACACAAGACCCATCCATACAAACAAGAGAATTTTCTATCTCCTACATACAGTGTTCAAAATATATAAAAATTTAACTACAAGTTATTCATGATATGAGCAGTACACCATAAAAATTTCATGCTATTTGGAGCTACATAGAAAAAGATATAATTACCCCTATTTCTTTCATGATAAAATAGATAATTAGCAACTCCATTTTTCATAACAGAACATAGCATAAATTATATTTTAATAAAAACTAGACAATCTCATGAACTCAACAAAATTGGAACCACATCATTTGGATCTACCAACTAGGAGATACATATTTTTGAATATATACACAAATCGGTGAAAAGAATAAAACAAAACACAAATAAGAAAACCTATCTCAGCCATCTTTGGGCGGCCCGGTCAGACTCGGCCCACCCACACAACCTGTGGCGGCCTTGCAAAACACGACGCTGCCCACGCCTGGCTCCTCTTTTGAGCCTCGGCCCGACGCCAGCTGGTCCCACGCGACAGAGAGAGGCGGGGAGAGGAGAGCGGATGGCGGCGTAGCTCGTCGCGCCGTGGCCTCTCCGGCCGAGTCCAATGATACTACGATGTTCTCTCTCGCCCGTCCGCATCTAGCGGTGCTCTCAATCGAAGCTATTGCTGCGACTCATCGGCAATGGCGACGGCCATGGCGGCGCCTGCGCCACCACGGCATGGCCGGCTCCGGCGAGACGACGCGTCTCGGCCCTAATGGCCCACTCTACTGAGCTTCACGTCACACACACACAAGACAAAAGCGCAAGGGAGAGAAGGGACGGTAAGGGGCTCGGCAAGACGACCCGCGTCACGAGCTTCGGCCGGCGGCGGTCATGGCAACCCGGTGGAGCCGCGCTCACGGTGAGCTCTACCTGAGTCGAAAATGGAATGACGGTGGGGTCAAAGACGTGGAGAAGCTCATGGTGGTGCTGTGGCTGGGATGAATCGGACCAAGGCGCTCGGTGTTGGAGGATTTGGCTCGGTGGCGTCACGGTGTCCCGGTCACCGTGCTCTCGCGGAGGAAGGAGATT